GGGCGGCCTTCCACGGCCCGAACGTCACCACCGACTCCTTAGCCGCGTCCAAGCTGTTAATGGCATTATCATAGAAGCCCAAATCCTCCTCCGTCCTCAGCACGCAGATGGTGATGTAGGAGTAGCGTGCGGCGATGGCCTCGGCCCTGGCGATACGAATCAGAACCTGGAGGACAAATTCAAAACGATCATTCAAAAAGTAAAAATGTGAAGTTGCGTGAATTCCAAAGTAGGAGTGTAAACTACAAACAGTCGTGGATTATTGGTGTGAGTGCAGCTCACCTCGATGTTTTCCTTGTAGTGCGGGACTCTGGAGAGGAACTGCTGCCTTCCCACCAGCTCTCCAAACAGCCGAGGAGTCTCCTCCAAGAGTTTGATCAGCGGTTTGATGTTGTAGTGGACCGCCTCCTTATGAACCTGCAGAAACACGAGTTGCAAACTTAAAATTAATTTTGGCAGCAGGGCACACCCCCTGTTTTTTAAACTGCTTTTATATTTATAGCTCAAATACTTGAAAACTATTAAGAACTTCTTTAAAGTAAACTTGTGGATGTTCATATTAAACATGGCCAAACAGTGTGAGGACAGTCCTAATAATCACCCCTGTCTAACAGGTTTGCAGGCGCAACCAATCAGAAGAAAGCTTAATTAAAAGGAGGAGGAGTTAAAACAGTTTGTGCCAGTGGCGCCAAAGCCCAGTAAATACAAAAAAGGATTATTTTGAATTGTGACTCATCCAAAGCCAGTCTAGTAGAATCAGGAAGTAAAGATATGGAGCTTTATACGAGCAGAGCTACATCGTGATAAGTCGGACCTCCTGGATGTTCTCCTTGGGCAGCTGTTCTGATCTCAGGAACTCCAGAATGGCTCCAAAGTGTGACCCATCGCGGTCGATGAAGTAGCGTCCCTGTGTGTCAGCACGCAGTTTGGGCGGTCCGCTGAAGATCTCCGCCAGCTTGGAGTCGGGGTGCTTCCTGAGCGTGCTCAGAGTGGTGGTGTACAGGTGACCCCCGACATTTAACTGCACAACATGAAAGTTCTGAGGAAAAAGACGATATTTAGGTTTCTGCAGAGTGCACCCAATGACTGCAGGAACAGTTACAGTGTTTAAACACTGGGC